CCAACACTGATAATCTAAGAAATTACCAAAAAAAATCGTAGATTAGACAATGGAAGGAAAACTTGAGTATGTCAGATGTCTCATCTTATAAAAAGTTATTGACCTGTCAGAATCACTCCCTACTAGCCAGATGATGATCTAACACAAAACCACTTCTGTCAGTAGAGGAAGTCACAGTGATATTTGTACTATTAACACTTTATGCCTCTACCTTTCCAAAAAACAGTTTGTTTCAGTAATTCCTCTTATCCCAAATGCTTAAACTCAGTGTTGCAGGCACAGAGTATAAGCAAATCTGGAATATTCTCCAGCAGATAACGAATATCATAACTCTGTTATTCTCAAAAAATACTGTCTAGATATCTACTGGCAACATTTTTAATAGCCTGTATTACTTGACATTCACTGGCAACATTTTTAACAGCCTGTATTAGTTGACATTAAATACATTTATTGTGCCACAAGTCCATCTAAACTTTCCTTTAGGTCTTTTTAAATATGTCTGAGAAAACACACCTGCTTCAGGTCTATTTAAGGGTTTTAACCTATAAGGACATCAGTTCCATTGGCGGGGGAAGTGGGGTACTAGGAAATGAACTCAGGACTTTGTGCTTGCCTGGCAGGCACTATACTTCTAAGCTGTATCCCTGGCCCTGAATTCCATTTTTAAAGTTAGACTAACTATGGTATTGTTGGGCTTACTGAAGAAAAGGACAGGAGAAAAAACTAAATCACAGTAAACCTCTTTAGGTCAGTTAAAGGCTATTATCTGTAGCTGGAATATTAAAAAAAAATTATAATCTCACCAGCTAACACGCTAAAAGTTAATGCCTTTAGTAACACTAGCAGGAAAAACAAACCTGCTGACAATCAGTCCTCTCATTAACAAAAAAGCAGTTTAACCCAATCCTTAGACATAAGTATAACATTACCTACCCAAACTGCCCCACCATCAGCAGAAAGAGAAAACCAGTTGCTTTAAAAATCCACATAGCGTAGTATTTCTCACAAGGGTAACAATGGTCCATCTCCTGAGTGCTCTAAAGGACTAAAGGTGGGGTGAAGGCAGTGTCTAGGAATAAGTATCCCACAAATAGTCTTTAAAAACCCAAAGTACTGCAAACACACCAGACTTGTCTATGAATCAGGAGAAAGATAATTGCTGTTGTTTCTTTTTGTCTTTTGAAATAAGTAATATTTGTAGGCTCTGCTCTTCAGTGTGAAAGCAGGACATTTTTTAAATAGCTAAAAAAATTGAAATCATTTGATACCCAAAGTTTTTGGTTATACATCTTAACTATGAAAGTAAATAGGTCTCCCTTCAGTCCAACCACCTCACAAAAATGAGAGAACTAAGACAGTCCATACATAATTTTGTTTGTTTTTTTTGAGACAGGGTCTCACTATGCAGTTCAGGCTGGCCTTGAGCTCACTTTGTAGCCCAGGCTGGTCACAAACTTGCAGTGATCCTCCTGCCTCACCTTCCCAAGTGCTGGGATTACAGGTGTGTGCTACCACGCCCAGCTATCAAATATGATTATTTTTAAAAGCCCTTGAAATTATTAAAATTTTTAAAGGAAAGGGGGTAGGTAGAAAAACCAAGAACAAGAGAACAAGGAGGGAAAGCTTAAGTGGGTAGGGGATTAATGGGCCTCTCTTATTTGGCAACAAGCAAGTGCAAGAGTTCATTTATAATTTGTTCAGTGGTCTGTCTTTTGAGCATCTGCAGTCTGACCAGAGGGGACTTTGAGGTTTTTCTGAAGCACATGAGCATCAGCAGGCTCTATCCTCTTATAGTAGTTCTTCTTTGTCTCAATCTCAAAGCCAGACTTCCTGTAGAAGTCAGTTGCTGACTTATTGCTGATCTGGATAGATGTTGTCAGAAGTACCATCTTTCTTACAGATGTTTAAGACATTATTTAACATTTTAGTTCCTGTTCTTAGCCTTCCGTAAGGTGCACGACATCCGAGTGTCAGGATGGAAAGTCTTCTGATTCTGTACATAGTCCGCCCTGCAGCATACTGCACCTACAGCATTATCATTAAAATAGGCAAGCTTTGCTAGCTCGCCAGTCTCTAACACATCACATTATAGCTGAGTAGAAAGATGACCTGGGTTAACCTGGTGAACTTTTTGATGTTGTGTGGTGTTACATCTCCAAGCTTGATCCGGTGCCTTTCATCTTTCCCTCAACACCGCCGTCCTCCCTGCTGTGAGTGCTACTAAACCAGTCTCCTCACCTAGGCCCTGGAGTTGAGGGAGTGATGGACAGGTGCAGCCCTGAATCTGCAGAGAGGGTGTGCAGGTGCTGCTGCTTCTCCCCAGGTGCATGCAGGAGCTCTGCTCCCGCCTGCTACCAGCCAGGCTCACCGAAGTCTTAAAATAATACTCCATTTGGGAGATACAAGCTGGCAATACAGGACACCTGAGGTGTCTGGGAGCTTAGTGTAGATAAACCGTGTAGGATTCCTCGTGTGGGACACAGAGAACCTTAACCATGGCTGAGTGCTTAGTGGAAACGAGCATTACAGGACTTTTCCATGTGGTACACACACAACCTTGACAATCTTGAAACAAACCTCAAACTTACCTGTTAGTATGAATCATTTGTGGCTCTAGAAATAAATTTCGTGGCTATTTCTGCTCTCAAAGTAACAATTATATGGCATGAAAATGAAGAAATAGGTAAGAACGTAGAGAAAGGAGCTCTAACATTTAGGTAGATGCGCTGAGAGTTTCAGTGTGATGTGGCTCATGCCTGCGTGGCACTCATTCTGTCTCCCCTTGCTTAGAGGTGTTGAGCAGAGCCAGGAATAGGCACTCGGTAGGTAAACTGCACAGTCTTCCTGTGTCTGAAGGACCTTGATTCAGTCCAGGCACTGCCACTTGCTGTTATTTGATCTTTGGCAGATTGTTTAACTTCTCAAAGCATAGCCTCCTCATGTATGAAGTGGGGAATAATAGTGTTTCTATTTCTGTTAGGATTTTTTTTTTTAAAGAGTAAAAGAAGGATAACATAATAATGGGGGGGCTTACCAAATTACAGACAAAGTGGTAGGAAATTATCAATGGTTGTTGTTTCACATACTGTTATCTACAAGATGGTTTCTCAGGAAAACAAATAGATAAATAATAGTGAGTTACAGACAAAAGAGGTAGGAGATTATCAATAGTTGTTATACTGTACTTTGGTATCTTCAAAGTGGTTTCTAAAGAAAATAAATAGAGCTATACATGAGTGACCTATTGAATAATCATTAACTATTCTCAATGGTTGTTGTAGGAAACACATAATAATAAACATGCATCCATTTACAAAATAGGATAGGAACAATACAAACATTACAGAGTTATGGATAGATTAGTAGGAGGACATCAGTGGCTGCTGTTAATACATGGTGGTATCTTCAAAGTGGTTTCTCAGGAAGACAGAGATACGCAAGAAGGATCTAACAAGTAGTTACAGCCTAAGGGTTGTCAAAAATAGCCTATTACCTTCTCACCAGTGACTCCTATCGCTGAGGTGTGATGACTGGAAGGAAGGCCAGGATTGAAAAGAAGGACCAAGAGACTTGCACCTGTGTGTAGCAACAGGCTGTTTTCTTGTTCCTCCATAGTCATGATTACCCAGGACTCCTCGATGGAGATGATGGTCTTGCCAGAGGGAGAAGGCAGAGTATGCCCCGGGCCCTCTCATTCCCGTTGGACTAACTGGTAGCATGGGTCTGAGCTCTGGGGCCTCCACTTCAGAAGGCAGACTGATCTCCAGTGGTCACCTTTGCATTCAGGGGATGGCCCATGGGGCCTCTTAGGGCAGTTCCTCTTAAGGTGGCCTGGCTTTTAACAGTGGTAGCAGATGAATTCAGTCGTCAAGTTCTTCTTGGGGCCCCAGGAATCAGACTTGGGGTCTCTTTCTCTTAGTGCTGCAGCAAAAGCAGTTGCTTTTTCTCGGTGTCTTTTTTTTCTCTCCTTGGCCTCCTCCTCTTCAAGGCTATAGAATACTGAGGAGGCAGTTCTTACTAACATCTCAAGTGAGCCATCTGGGGCGAAAGCCATTCTTTGTAGCTTTTTCTCTCCAGCCTCCCATCGCACTGGGACCCCACAACCAGTTAGTGTCCTCTCCCCAACCGTCAGCACAGGCAGCAGGAATCTTGCTGCAGGCCTCTCCAGAGCTCCACACGCTCCTCCACCACAGCCTGTACTGTCAAGGGAGGAATGGCTTCCAGGGGGGTCTCCCCAGGTATTATGCAAGGTCCTCCTGGTTTACAGCTTCTGAACGGCTCTCATGACCCCAGTCTACAGGACCTCTGACTCTTCCGGCTTAGTCTGTATTCTCATGTTCTCCAAGTTCTTGTTCAGCAGCTGCTCCTCCACTGACTCTGGACCTTTCTGGTTCTCAATGGGAGGAGCAAGAGTGACCCATTGTGTGGCATGTATTCCCAGGGGTTTCTCCATGTTGGAATGATTCACACACGTCTGTGGGTGGACCTCCACAGCTGGTGCATGGTGGGCCAATTGTGTCATTGTTTCTCTGTGCCATGGTAGTTCTCAATTGAGTGGTGGTGGCTGGTTTGAGGGCCGGCATGCGCCTGTGCACGCTGCCGTGCAGCTTCCCAGGCACCAGGGGCCCTCCTCCCAGGTACTTACAAGGCAGGGATCTGGCCCAAAGACCCGCACTCCCCGCCACTGGGCTTCCAGGGCTTCGGGGGCCCTCCTTCTGGGCACCTGTGAGGCAGGGAGCCAGCCCGAAGACCGGTATTCCCCACCACGTGGCTTCCCGGGTGCCGGAGCCCCTCCTCCTGGGCACCTGCAAGGCTAGGGGCCAGCCCAAGGGCCGGTGCTTTGTTGTTAGGATTAAATGAGAAATGACGTGGTCTGCTTCACATGCTACTGGGCTTGTCAAAAGTGCTTAATAAATGCTATTCTGCATTGGCTGGGAAGATATGCTTTACTAAATAAAATAAGAGAGATATTTAAATTTTTTTTTTTTTATTTTAAGGAAATTCGGAATGAGTCCCATGACTATCCTCATAGAGTGGCAAAGTTTCCAGAAAACAGAAATCGAAACAGATACAGAGATGTGAGCCCATGTAAGTACTTGTGGATTCATGTGTATGTATGTGTTGGTTTGTTTAGGAGGCAGGAGACAGAAGGAAGGAGGCTGTGGGGTCAGGGTGAAGTACAGTGATTCTTTTCAGTTTATATAAGATATATATTCTTAAAAATCTCAAGGAATAATATAGTACAAAGAAAAAGAATTATCTATAATTATTTCATCTTTCAAACACAGCTGCCATTATTTTGGTGTATTTCCCATTAATCTTTTTTTCTTTTTACATGTGTGATTTTTCTGTCTTTAAATTGTAATCGTTGTTATATGTGTATGTATATATGATAGAGTCATATATATAATTTTCACATGATTTCATGACCTTTAAGTGTTAACTTAAAGTATTTACTAGTATACTTTAGTTTCCCACCCCCCTTTCTCCAGTTACAAAAGTAGTGTGTACTTACTCTACAAAACCTGTACAAAAACAAAACAAAAACTTGTGAAGCGTAGGAGTTCTACTTTTTTTGTGATAGTGGGGTATTGAGATCCCCCAATACATTGTATTAGTGCTTATTTGATTGTTTCACGTCCATTGATATTTGTTTTATATATTTGAGTGCACTGGTACTAGTTGCATATATATTTATGATTGTTATCTCTTCCTCTTGGATTGTTGCCTTCACAAGCATGTAGTGGCCTTCTTTATCTCTCTTAATCAGTCTTGGCTTGAAATTCACTTTGTCTGCAAACAGAACAGCTACCCTGCTTTTTTCTGGGTTCCTGTTGCATGGAGTATTATTTTTCATCCTTTAACTTTCAGTCTATGAATTTCTTTTTGAATTAAATGTGTTTCTTCTGTGCAACATATTATTGGATCTTGCTTCTTGATCCATGCTTTATATTTTTCTTTTTTTTTCCATTTATTTATTTATTTTTGTCTTTTTGACACAGGGTCTCTGTGCAGTTCAGGCTGGCCTTGAGCTCACTTTGTAGCCCAGGCTGGTCTCGAACTTGCAACAATCCTCCTGCCTCAGCATCCCAAGTGCTGGGATTGCAGGCATATGCCACCATGCCTGGCTTTTTTTGTTTTTTTTTTTTGAGACAGGGTATCACTATGCAGGTCAGGCTGGCCTTGAACTCACTTTGAAGCCCAGGCTGGCCTTGAACTCGCAGTGATCCTCCTGCCTCAGCCTTCTAAGGGCTGGGATTATGGGCCTGCATCCCCGTGCCCTGCAGATGGGCTTTCCAGTATTGGTGAATTTGTTTCTTTTGCCTAACAGCTTTTAAGATTCTATTCCTTTTTTTTTCGGTCTTTTTGAGACAGGGTCTCGCTATGCAGTTTAGGCTGGTCTTGGGCTCACTTTGTAACCCAGGCTGATCTCAAACTCACAACAATCCTCCTGTCTCAGCCTCCTGAGTGCTGGGATTATTA